AGTAACTGCAAACTCGAGATGTGGGCGTATTTAAGTGGTGTAAAGTTTTTTCTATATTTTGGTATCTCTGCTTACAAACGTGTTTTTTCATGTTCCAAGGACTTTATTAGCCTTGGCAGCGGCTATTTGTGCTAGCCTCTAATATTTTAAGTTGTTGGAAATTTGAACGTCTATATCTTTAATGGATGTTGAAGACTTGATTACTGTTCTAGTGACGCTACCGTTAGCGTCATACTCGTTCATTAAATAAATGTGTGGGGAAGCATTGCACTTACTGAAATGCATGACTTTGTATTTCTTGATATTGGTTTCCATTAACCAGGTTCGAGTCCAGGTAATAACGCTATCTACATCGGATTGCAGACGAGCTTTTTCTTCAGTGGTTTTGACGACACTCACGATTTAAGTATCGTCTGCATACATTTTACATAAGTTTTTGCTACTGATGTGATCGGGTAAGTCATTAATAACTAATATGAACAACGTAGGACCTAGCACTGAACCTTGCGGAACGCCACTGGTAACCTTTACCCAGGTGGTTAGGTATTACCTAATATGACACGCTGTGATCTATTTGAAAGGAAAGCTTTTATCCAGTTAAGAACGTTAGCTTCGATTCCTTAGGATTCGAGTTTTTGAAGAAATCTTCTGTGAGAGACTTTATCGAAGGCTTTGGCCAAGTCAAGAAAAAGAACAGCTACGGGAAGCTTGCGAGAAACGTTGTAGGTCAGAAAGTCTTTGACCTCCAGCAGATTCGTGACGCAGGCTTTTTTATTGACGAAGCCGTGCTGGCAATCGGCAATAAGTTTATAAGCCACAAGGTGCTGCATGATCTTTTCTTTAAAAACTTTTTCCATTATTTTGCCTGTTACTGAGGTGATGGAGATAGGCCTATAGTTTTCTGGGTCAAGTCTGGAGCCTTTTTTGAACAGTGGCGTCATGTTTGCCGAGAGCCACTCTTTTGGGACTACACCTTGATCCATCGATTTCTGAAATATGATGGCAAGCGGGGTAGCCGCCGCATCTGCACATGCTTTAAGCACAAATGTACTGATACCGTCACCTCCAGTTGATTTATTGGCGTTGAAAGCAGATATGTGTTTGTGAACGGAATCATAGCTGAAGATGACGGAGGAGATTAAAATTGTTGTACATTTAACAAATGGAGGTAGTTGTTGATCTGATGATTCGATTGTGAATACTGACTGGAACTGGCTGTTAAGTATATTGGCTATGGATAAGTGGTCGCTTTTTATTTCCTCAGCGGGTGAGCACATAGAAGTTATCTGGTTACTGACGGTGCTTTTGTTGTTTACATAAGTGTATAGACGCTTAGGGTTCCATTTGTCGCTTGCTAATTTGTGTTCAAATGCTCTAATTGCAGTGCAGGAAGCTTTTTTGACAAGGTTTCGAGTTTGGTTATACTCTTTGCTAAGAGTAATGATTCGCCATTTGCTGTTGCGGTTGAGGTACCAAAGTTTTTTCTTACGTTAATTTAGTAAAAAAAGTTCGCTGGTTAGTCAAGACTGCCTGTGTTTGGCCGGTTTGGAGGTGACACGCGGAATAAATTTGTCACATAATTTGATATAGTTGTCGCAGAAGATTTGATAACATTCGTCGGCATATCGGTCATTAAATAAACTAACCCAATCGACTTGGGAGAGTTTCTCGTTTAGATTCGCGTAATTACCATTTCTTATCCCATATTTTATGTAAACAAAGTATTGATATTTTAATAATTTTTGACACATGTTTTTTTCTATGCGTCGTTTTATCACACACTTTGCATTGCATTTGACGTATGTTCTGTTGTTTTTAAAATGCTCACAACCCTACCTAAGTTGTTTAAAACAATTATTCAGGTTCAGCAACTAATTTGTTTTTCTTGAATAATTTTCTCTGAAAGATTTTAGTTGTTTTTTATTTGCCTCTGTACTTTACTTATTCCGTAATTTAAGGCCTGTGTTATTGTTTAACTCAATTAGCTCATATGTATGTCTTAATATTTTATAAATAGTCAAACTAACCTAAAGGGTTTCTTGAAGAAGAAGAGTCTTAATCATTTTACATTTATCTCTGTATTTCTTTATGTTAATTTTCTAACTAAATGACAAATATTAGTAGACTACTAAAGGCCATACCACTCAGTTTTTATTCTGTTAAGTTGATTTGAAATTTAGTTAGTAATCTGTTTTCTGTTTTTTTACATTGGCCTGAAGACGTCATGCTACATTGCCTATTGTAATGCTACCCCCTTAACTTGATGATTCTGCAAAGTCCCACTTAATCCTATTTTGTGTTTTTTATTGCTAGTTAACTCCTGCATATTCTTTTTG